GGCTTAATAACCGGCGACTACTGTATTCTTCCTCCGTCCTGTGGAAGAACACGGGAATAGGGACCGCCCTGTAGCTTTGCGTTACGTTCCAGCGAATTTAGGAGTGCATTTAAGCTTAGGAATAGAATTAAAGTAGAATTACAGGTAAGGGTAAGGTTAGAGTTTTGGAGAACGATTAAGACGCGAGAACATCTATCCCGACGGACTGAACCAGGCTCCTGTTCCCGTATGTCGCCGGGGTACGACATGTAAGCGAGGTCTTCGTCTCGGAATTCGCAACGCATTTTAACCTCCTCCTCTGCGAGCACACAAAAGATAAATTTGGCAGGAGAAGGTTCAGAACTCTCAGTCATCAAATAAGATAGTTTGCTACAGCAGAAGCAGTTGCTATCAGGCTACGCAGACCGGGACTGTGCACTCAAAAGAACTTTGTAACAGCGCAGCAATTCCCCTGGGCGGAAGCCGCTAACACAAGCGCACACGGCTTAACACATGCCTCGGAACTGGGTCCCCCCTAATGACAGACAAGTCCCTAGTACAACCGCGCGTACCTTATCACCTGTCTTGGCCGCTGGTCCGCCCAGACACAGACATTTTGACCTCAATTCACCATGTGAATGTACAAGCCTGAAGAGAATTTATCGAAAGCAAATGTAAGCTTGCCAATTTATCTTTTGAGATTTACAATGGGAATTTTCACAAATTTGAAATAAGAGTGTCCATGTTGAGCTAAAGTGCGTTGGTAAAACCTCTTGACAGTAAACGTAATTTCCATTAAGAAGACACCAAACTGGTCCACCAAAGGCTCACGCTGTATTGAGGGCTACGCTAGACAACCCCTAAATCATGCATTTAGGTTACTTTTACTTACTTTGGTCAGCAATACGCCTAATTCAACAAAGGCTTCTACTTCTAGGTTAACGACTTTTTCTTCGTAGTGTTGCAAAAAAACATTTTGTAACTCAACACTAGAATGCGTTCAAAAAAGTAAATGACATGACGGACTGCGACTTATCATGCAGGGAAGAAATTGCAACGCACCTTCGGGACCCCCAGAGGGGGGAACTGGAGCTATGACAAGCCCAACATGACCTGGGCTTATAGCCAGGTAGTAGTCGGTTATAAGTCCACCGGTGTAGCCCGAGACGTTTGGGTAAAACACCTCCACTGACGTGTCTGACGGCTTCCTCCTGAGAAGGGGGTCGATGCGGAAGTTGGGAGACGTGGCGAACGGTTTGGGGCACGTCCAAATAGCCGTCGTTGCCCCCTGAAAGTCGGTGCCTAAATGCAACGGTACGGTGAGCACACATATAGGGGGCTTGCAGACAGCAAGAGGGAAAATAAAAACATTAAAGAACCAGTTAAAACACCGAAAGGTTATGTCATCAGTGCGCAAAAGGTGGACGGCAAGGACTGACTAACCGTCCACGGAGGGTGCCCACGCGTACACACGGTACTCAGTGGCCGGTTGGAGATTAGTTAAGGTCAGATGGAAGGGCGCAGATTGGACGCGAAGGAAGGACCAAACTCCAGCATCAGCTGGTACGGCCAGTTGACCTCTGACAGCAGAGCTGACAACCTAAACGTGAGAGATATAGGCTCAAAAAGGTAAATGGGATACAGGTTGTAGGAACAAATACTCTCAAGTGATAAAAGACAACACTGAGCTAGTTGTGGGTGTCCATTTACATTTCGGGAAATGGGATGGCCAAATATGTTTGCTATAAATACAGAATCAGTCGACATGAAACACTTCGAGGAATATGGATGCATGCAACCGTGCAATCCGACCTCCGCCGAACCAACCCTTTCCCAAATACAATATCTGGCGTACCGACTGAAGAAATCGTGGAAAACCGCCTTCCATTCCGAATACCAAGGTATCCCACTAGTTGACAGCCTGACAAACAACGAGACTAAGGCTTTGTGTGTTAGCCGTTGGGATAAGCGCCCCCTTTTGCTGATGTCCTCAATAATGGGTCCAAGTTTGAATCTGAAAAGTCAGGCGAATAAAAGTCTTGTAAAATTTAAACCAGTGAGGACAAGTAGCACAAAAGCATCTAATTATCTCTGTGCTTCGTCTCCAATTGTGCATTGGCGACAAGACTGTTCTAAGCCAACTGAGAAGTTGACCAAACATCTGGCCACCGCTTATCGTGTGTTTATATTCCGTCTAGATTTGAGGAGACAGGGGATCAGCTTTAGATCTTAGCGGTTCTGTAAGCAGTAATCAGCTCTGTAAGATTCAGTAACTACTACCAAAAAAATATCATAAGGAGCCTCTTTTTTTCAAAATCTGTAAGCCTTTAAATGCTCATAAGGTCACACAAACTGACGCGAAAAAGCCACCGTCATGGGGAAGACGAAAACAAAGGCGATACGCGACCTGTAGCAGCCGGACCAAAACGCCATCAACAAAACCCTCGCTAGCTCCAGGTGCGTGGGCCGAAACGGGGGGAACGCAGATCGATCGATAATCAGAGTCCTGCTAAAGGACTAAATGGCTGTCCGTTAAGCAGGACAGCGGGAGTAAAGACAAAGCGTGTGAAACCCGAAATTGCCACGTTAGGTCTGTGTGAAAGTAAATCTGGTTGCTAGAAGGGGCTCATCACGCGAAATATGGGCAGGATCAGGCGTGGTTGACAATGCTTCTGACCTACATGTACACAGCAAGTCAAAAATCGCTCTTGACAAAGGTGCAAAGGATGAAGTCTTTGAGGGGTCGAACAGGTTATCGTCTGAGTTGAGGCGATCATACAAACATTCTTGACATATTCTAGGAATTTAAAAAGGTTTTCTGGCTGTGGGCATCCCAAAGTCTGCCAGAAAAGAACATTTTGTAATAAGACCCAGTTGTTTATCGACTGGCCAATTAACGGGTCGCATCCTGTGAGTTTCTCACATGCGGCGGTAACATTAGTTATTCTCACGAATAGAAGCAAATATCTGTGCCCCAGGTTCTTGTTGTAAAGAAGCAGAAGACGCGATCTCCGGAACGGTAATTTTATTCGTCTGAACTTTCGACTCCACACGAGAAGCCATCGTGTGGAGTCGAAAGCTCAGACGAATAAAATCACCGTTCCAGAGGTCGCGTCTTCTGTTTCTTTACAATTAGTTATTCTTTTTTAAGATGTTGAGTAATCATTGGCTGAGGAGACTGCTTCAGTGCAGCTGAAAGAGCCGGCAAGGTTTTGCGAAGTAGGATGAGTCTCGGTTTTTGAACATCAGGCTCCAAGTGCATCGAATTGTGTCTAGTACGTCTGAGGCCCAGAAATCTACTGTGACAAGAAGGCGGTGGAATGCCGACATCTGTTTCGATCTAGCAGCATATCATACCTATCTTTTGGTTCAAGGAGATCTCATAGCAGTACGTTATG